TTGACGTAATGGTGTAATTTTCCATGACATCTCCTCATATGCCACTGCAAACTTTTCAAACTGTTTGAACTGTTGCCCCTCCATTTAGCAAAATAACCTCCCTCAAAGGGACAACATTATACTTCTCATTCTGGCCTGAATGATGCTAGATAATCTGATAACGATACATCGGTCGATTTCTTCTAAAATAAACAAACAAACTTGTTTTTTAGTTTAACAGTTGAAAAATATATCTGAATTTCTTATTCCCTGCTAATCTACATCAATTGTTCGCTAACTAGTTACATCTGAAAGCTAATGTTAGCAAAACCTTACCTAACTAACTAGATCATTTACTTAATAAATGGTTTTTAAAAGAGCATTGTAGTTAGGACGTTTTACAGTCGATAAGTTGCAAAAAAACAAACATGAAAAACAAAATGAATCCAATTTTGGAAACTGTGAGATATTTGTTCGACAAAACCTATGTGAAAATGGTTTGTTACACTGGGTGTGGTAAAAATACTATGTGGGACCACAAGGGGTGGCGGCACACTGCATACTCCCCCACAGAACAAGGGTTATGGTATGTCCTCTCCGAAGAAGCAGTGCCACGCATAACATTAGCTGTGGCTGTGGGCCATGAAGCTAGGTCACTTGGACCAATGGTCAAAGAAGCATTAAAGACCCAATGCTGTCCCACTGCCACACCCATGCTAATGACCTCCCAGATGGAAAGATGTGGAGGATAACACACGAGAGTACAGGTACAAGACTCCTGGAATACCAGGACCTCACCAGAGATCACGGACGTGGACTCACCAACCACCCAGACACTGACAAATGGCTGAAGGAAGTGCCGATGGCCTGTGGACCACCGGACCCTACGATGTGGGGTTGGTGCCCAAGCATCAAGTCACAGTTACACTAAAGAGTGCACAGTTACCGTGCTGGAGACCCCAGTATCGGTTAAAGCCCAAACAAGTGGAAGGCATACAAGATAACACACCTCCCTGTCCCAAAGGCTGACAACAAAGGATGGAGAATGGTACATTACCTGAGAGCCATTAACGAGGCTACCGTAACTGAGAACGCACCGGTGCCTGACCCCTGCACTGCTCTACAGAACCTGAACCCAAGTCACACCCACTTCAAAGTGATTGACCTGGCAAGTGCTTTCTTTTGCCTGCCTATATCAACTGAAGTACAAGACGTGTTTGCATTCATCTATAAAGGACTTCAGTACACCTATAACCATATGCCCCAAGATTACAAGGACAGTACCCCCCTTCAGATTCAAGAGAGAAAGAGACCCTGATCCAGTATCACACCTGTCAAGGTTAAAAAGAGAAAGATCAATACAGTCTTCAGTATCACACCTGAATACGGGTTGGTTGTTCACACCATAAATAGTGTAAAAGGAGGGATTTGTGAGATATTTGTTCAACAAAACGTATCTGAAAATGGTTTGTTATACTGGGTGTTGTAAGAACATAACGAACACTATACAAAAAGATAATCTGCTGACACAATTACAGATCCTTCCTGTTATCTTCATGACCTTTGTCCTCAGGATTTATGAACAGTCTCCCTGAGATAGACAACACATTAAACTTTAATCACTCACTGAATCACACACTGTAAGCAAGTGTGACCTTTGAATCAAACTCTGAGTAGTAACTCAACGCTGGGAAGTGATCTATTTTTGTATTTACTTCATACACAGTGCAGTATAATAAAGAAAATGGTCTTTAAATAATTATTTACAGACCAAGGTTCAATGAGAGTAGTGACTCATCTAGCAGAATAAGTAAATTACAAAGATCTGCTTCACTCGAAAGCTCCGCTGGATCAGGGGCCCGGAGCACAGGCTGCTCCCTCTTTTTATAGCTTTGTTATTCTGGGTGTCAAATAAAAGAAGTTGAGGACAACACTTCCTTTAATGTTCTTTCTCAAACAAATAACACGACAAAACCACAAATAATGATTCCTTCAAAATAAAAAAATATTTTGCAGACTGCCAATAAACATTCCAGCCGATTATCCACATTAACTGCATATTGTCACATCTTAAGTTAGATATTAGCAAAACGTTAGCTAACTAACTAGCTAATGTACATAAACAGTTACTTTGCTCACAGTAGCTAACCCAAGATATGACTATATGACACTACATGTATTTATGTGTCTATATATGTATGAAACTTGAATGTTTTGTTGTTTATGTGTATTTGTATGAAACTTGAATTTGTTGCTGTTTCTAATAAAGTTTCCTCTTATTGAAACATTAAATATTGATTAATATTATTTCCCGTCTTCCAGTTCTGTAAGTGGCTGAAGTTGCTGATTCGGGACCAGCGTAACGTCCTGCTGACGGCGCTGCTGGCCTGCTGTCCATGGCGTTATTGGGAATATCCCCAGCACCCGCCCTGCCCACCCTCCTCATCCCTTCACCCTGTGGATGGCGAGCTTAGAAGCTTTGGGGACGACGTTCAGCATTTGAGCCTCACCGCTGGTTCGATGCCGTCATGTTGGAAAGCTGACAGACAGGAAGTAGTCGTCTGCAAACATGTTTGTAGTTACATGACTGTCGCACTATATTTTTACTGCTAATGACGCCCTTCCTCTAAGTCCCCCCCTTTTTTCTGATTACGAGCCAATCAGAGGCAGAGAAGGGCGGGTCATGACTTGGCCACCCTGGGAAAAAAAAATATGCTATGTTTTAGCTAGTCTACGATGAAACATAACTTTTTGAAGTTGTTCGAAAGATAAAAGCGAAAATTTCTGTGTAACAGTCACATCTTAACTTTAAATCACTAATGTTAACAAACTGCTAAACTAGATAGCTAATCTACATCAATCGTACTAACTTGCTAATTTACATAAATTAAGCTAGTTACTCACCGTTTTGCTAATGTTAGCTAACTTAAAATCGTGACTGTAATATAAATGTCTCTTTTATCTTTTAACCAATCTCTAAATGCCCTTTTTGACATAATTAGCTTAGCACGTAGCATATCTAAGTACAGGAAGTTGACGGAGGTTTGCTCGACTGTTATTTGGAGCACAGAGCAAAAGGGGCGGGGCTTAGGAAGGGGTCAATAACAGTTGAGTAGCTCTTAACTGCTGCATTGTCAACTCAATCAACTAGTACCGCCCACATTGTTTGATTGACAGGTGACTTTTTGGAGTCGAAGAGCGCTTAGCAACAAAGACAGCCTTAACAGTTTTTTTTTCGCCTCTAAATTAAAAGAAACCAAAGATCGTTTAATAATAACTGCGTTTTACTGAAGCTGCAGGTTTTTTTGGAGGAATTAAAGTGATGTTTTTGTTTTTGTTTGTCTTCCAAAATGGCGGTGCGTCACTCATTTTTTTTTTAGTATAAGACCAACAACGTCCTGGAAAAAGCTCATAATTTGGTGTTTTTTTTGTTGTCATATTATGGTTTGCAGCACACAGCAGTGTTTTGTTTTTGTTTGTCAGTTTTAACTCCTCACTTGACCGTACTAAAGCAACACGAGCCGCCGCGTCCCGGTGAAGCTCTTCCTGTAAAAGTCTTGTAGAATATCCTTCACGACCTGATTGTTCTCTAACCAGTCACAAAACGTTTGTACAGAATTTATTTTTTATGATGCGTAACACTTTATACTGTGTTTTGTATGTAAAATAAGGAATGGAATTAGAGATTTGAATTCTGTGATTTTCTGCTGATTTTGGGGTCAAAAATAAACTATTAATTCAGTTAAAACTTCAGCTTTATGTTGATAAAACTCAAACATGTTTGTATTGAAAAGTGAAAATCTAGTTTGAATCAAATGCAATACAAACAAATCAGATTTAAAAAAAGACAAATACTGAGAAAATCTGACCCAATAATATCTGAAAATCAAATAAACAACAATAAATCACATTTACATTTAATTATTTCAATAATAATAATAAAGA